ACAGTCCTCACCTCCAATTCCATAGCACTCAAGAATTGAATTTCCACAAACGGAAGCCCGCAGCAGAAGCAACTGAATTAGATGGTGCAATGCAATTCCAATACCGAAATAAGTCGGCCGCCGGTGTAATGAAAATGAAAATTGAGTGCCTCCGACGATGGCTATGACGCCGGTCTTCACACCAACAAAAAGAGAGAGTTCCAGGCTCTCACCGATCCCGACTTTCTCCGGCAGTGACGGCTTTGTGAGTTGAAGTTGAAGTCTGCTCAGTTGTCGCTCGTCGTCATGTGGTCGTCGGAGCAGAAAGTTGCAGTAAAACTGTTGCGAACTTCAATGATACCCATCACATTATCTGACTGCCCATCAAATTTAATAGGTCCATTATTGGTTCAAACTTTTAATTATGTTATCGAACTATACCACGATTTAGAATTAAAATTTGGTATCTAATGACTCCGACATTTTCCTGCATTTAATGCAACATAGTCACACTTATATGAGTGAAGACTATCTCCACAAACCAATGTCTATGATCAAGCCACTAAAAAATTAAGATGCATTTTATTGATATAGATAATAACTTTCATTTTTTTCGTGTCTTGTTCATTCATATACCCCTTTTTTACTCAGATACCATATGGTCACCCCTCATACATAAGGTAGCTATGTTGTAGAGATGCAGGAAAATGTCGGGACCATCAAAATCATTCATAAAACTAAAGAAAACAATGAAGATTATTCCATGTTAAATATAAATAAAACTAAAGAAAAGATTAAGACAATGTCCTAATCCAATCTAAGATCTACGAAATAAAAATGTCACTACCCTAACACAGGTTCTACAATCTTCATTGAATGCAATCGTCAACCGTACAGGGGTTTCTTGCTTTTACCTGAAATATAAGAATAGCACAAGCCTTGAATATTTTAAGAAATACTCAGTAAATGATCCTACTATTGGGGTCGGGAAATGCAAACACGTGCAAAATGATGGAACCTATCATTTAAAACTATCTTCTCTTAGGCGGCTTTCCAGTTCGGGCAAATTGGATGTGTAGTACTTCTCTACACATGCCCTGCATGTGCGAGTATAGGCCCACCAGGTGAGCTCATACGCCCCTTAGACTTGTTAGTCGGGCTAGCTTTTTTGGGTTGTTGTCGGATACCTAGAGGGAATAGCGACCGTTGTAGCATCATGATATATATGATGATCATTTCAATCTCATATTGTATGCATCCATACTCATCATAAAGAGAAAGTATATTGATGCACGTGAACATACAATTATGCATGAGGTTCCAATAGTTTCAATTGTAACAAATCATGCAAGACAACTCTCATTCTTTCCTCACATATTATACTCGGTAATATGCATGCATAAACTTTCATAAATCATTTTATTCATAACTTATCTTTCAAATCATAGCGTAGGGGTTGTGCTTCGTAGCTTTTCTTTATTTAAAAACATTTCATAGCATATCATGGCCTAACATAATATATGATGATGTTGATATAATACATGCGGAACCAATTGAATCTTAGGCACTCTTAGAACATCAATTATAGTAAATAACTAGTATGTTCATAAGTATTAAAACTCAAAGAGTTTAAACTAACCTTTTGTAGTTCAAATTCTTTTTTCCTTACGAACCGTTTCGAACCACCACTAGTGTCTTCTCTACTATTCTTCGGCCTTAGAACAGGATTGTGGAATCTGGTGAGTGACTAAACTTAGAAGGGATTTAGTATATATGAAGAGAGAGTTTTTCTCAAGGTTTTTCCAAGAAAGAAGTTCCATGTACCTTGATCAATCTCTTTATAGAGTCATATTTGCATGTTTATGCAAATTTGAGATCACCAAATTTTGACACTCAAATTTGTGAGGTTTATTTGGCAAGCATGTAAGTTTGGTTAACCCAAATTTTGACACCTCAAAATTCCACTAAAGATTTTTTTTAATTTGAATAATTAATTTCAAATTAAAGTAATATTAAATGATTAATTAAACTATTTAATTAATATTTAATATTAATTCAAATGTCAATCCCAATCAATTCCGACACATATTTGATTAAAATATTTAAATCTTATTTAAATATATCAGATTCTCTCTTTTTATTTAATTCGTAAATAAAACAAAAATGCAGTTAAATATATCGTATATATGTAGTGCATTTTTCCTAATTTGAATTCGAACATTTCGAACTCACTCATCACACTGTTTTATGGTTTAGTATGATATGAGCTAGCAGAGGCACCTAATGAACCTATAGATCATGGGCTCCAACGATTCAAGATTAGCAGTTAAACTCATTAACCTTGTTAACCAACATTCGTTAACTACACTCCACTATAGCCTAATAGTTGCACTCCCCTCACTATAGATATATTTTTGTCCATTTATATAACCATGATTAGTAAGTCGATCCTTCACAGGTTATTCCTAACTAGAGCTGGGTCAATTCACAGGTCAATCTTGCACCCCACGTTCCCAGCCATTCATCTAGCCTTACCCTTGAAATGGGAGGCCTATTGAGTCGGCGAACTTAAGCCACTCTCACTCATGCAAATCTAAGGATAATTCCGAATAAACAGGAGTTCATGGTTAACTTAGGATTAAGATCGAGTTACCTAGGTCATCGAATGAAAAGAAAATCTATCTCAACAGTAAACGACATTATCAAGTGAGAGTGATTTTCTTCATGGTCCAATCTTATGCAATACTCATTGCATAGGACGCCCCCACTCACATGTCTTCGCATGTACAATTTAATGATCATATTGTTTATGTCATATACAAAAGTGGGTCGCATCCATAGTGTCCCCAAGATAAGGTACTCAACTTTATCCCTGTACTATAGATCATTTTGAATATATATTCGAACTTGATCCACTCTTATGTCTCTACATATAATTTAAGTAATCATACTATAGTCAAAGTGTTCTTAGTTTATTAGATTTAGATTAATAATCGTAAAATTCACTTTATTCAATAACAATCTTTACTGAATAAACATCAATAATAAATTTATTGAAAATAGAATATATTTTTATTTACAAATTATGAGTTTTAGAACATAAAACCAACAATACATCAGAGTGCATCTTGTCATTTCATACATTACATAGCTTATCGCGTCATAATATAGAATTTCATTCATACCATCGTGTCATTTGACATATCATATAATGACACATTCACAACATCATCACATCACAAGGCATATCACACACATGATATGAGTAAGGCCACGAGACATGTGTCGTTATACATAAAACAAATTTTCCAACCAAACCGATAGTAGAACCACTTAATTGGTTGCCCTAGACCGAAGCTTTTACGACCCATTGATGCTAGAAACTAGTAGGAAAGGGAGAACCACTTAATTGGTTGGCCTAGACCAAAGCTTTTACGACCCATTGATGCTAAAAACTAGTAGGAAAGGGTCCGAGTGTATCAAACACAGAAAATGAATTCTTCGACTGGCTTTGAACCGCTCAAATGGAATGAAAAGAAGACTAAGGGACCTCCCTTTTTATAATGGAGCCCAACTCTCCACGTTCTCAACATAACCGATGTGGGACAACTTTTATTTTATTTTGGGTTATTACATCATACATGTCTTTGTAAAGACTATTTTCCTAGTACAGAAAACCTTCACTTCCCCGGTCGAAAATTCTTATTAGTGTTTTCTCGTATCTTAGGTCATCGCCTATCTGTAAGGATTCGTAGTCTACGATGTGAGTCGTGTCATCCAAGTATTTTTGAAACATGGATATGTGGTATACGTTATGAACCACGAAGAGGGATGGTGGTAGGACTAATTTGTATGTCATCAATATGATTTGATCTATAATGTTGAAGTGTCTGATGAAGGTTTAGCTTCCCCTTTCGTTCGACCCTTAAGATGCATTTCATCGAAAACACCTTCAAGAATATCTTGTTGTATACCTCAAACTCTAAATTTCTACGCCTTACGTCGGCGTAAATCTCCTGTCTACTCTAAGTCGTGCACATTCTTACCTTGATCTTTTGAGTCTCATTGGTGACTTGGACTAACTCTTGTCCCAATAGTTCATGCTTCCTACCTCATCCCAGCACATCGAGGCCTTCATTGTTACAATATTTGTGGCTATAAACAATTTCCATAAGATCTAACTTGAAATCTCAACTGTTTATGAAACTAAAGTATTGCTACAACTAATATTGACATCACATAGTCTCGCCTATTCCTCATAGGTAAATCTTCTGTCTACTCTAAGCTTGTGAGTGCATGATGATGTTATATGATGATATGATGATGTTATATGATGACTTGATGATGTTAGATAATGATGTGATTATGTTTATATGATGATGTACACGATGTTGCCATGATAATGATGATGCATAATAATAAGATTATGTGAGATGTTCAATGATGAAATGACTTAATATAATGATGTTTCATATTAAAATGATGTGCATGTATTAAATGTCACGATGCATTATGACGATGAGTTTCAAAGACACAACTCTAGTTAATGTTAATGATGATGAATGTACGAAGGTCAATGCATGCATGTTACTTAGAATAATGTGTAAACGATATATAGGGTTGTGTCATAAAGATGATTTAAAAACGAAAACTATAGGGATCTCATGCATTTTGTGTGTTTATATACATCGGGATACTTCCCCATTTATGATGATGAGTACGAACGCGTACACTATGATGATGATGGTCATGCCTCTCATGACACTCAGGGGTTTGCTGACTTCCGGACGTCACTAAAAACAACTAGCTCGTCTATGATAGGTCCAGGGAGTACGAACTGCTTAGGGACCCATGCTCGTGAGTCGTATATAGGAAAGTACTATACATCGAATTTTGTCTACATTGGAGGCCACCCATATAATAATTTTAACGATAGGTCCCTAGTATATGAGTTTGCATTCGAGGTTGCAACAAGACATCCGGTTGCTTAGTAATCCATAGCATCCGGTTGCTTTATTTGTATGGTATTGCTTGCAACGAGCCAAATCCGTACTGGACTGGACTGGACTGGACTGGGGCACAATCACGAGCTCCAACGAGCCACATCAAAATTAGCCACTCAATCAACTCCCAGTTTTGGCTCTTGCCTGGCTTCGGTTTCGCCGCTTTCCGTTAATCCGCGTGCTTTTAGCGGCTTTTCTTTCTCTCTCTCTCCCTGATTCTTATTTCTTTAACATTTGCTCTCGCAGGCCCCTTCTCTCTTCCTTTTCCTGTTTCTATCAGGAATTTCGAAACCTCTTCATATTTATTGTTCTTCCTGCCTTATTTACTTACCAATTAATTTCATCCGTTATCGTCCATTTGATTTCAACATTTGGTATTTTTCATTTCTCTTGGGGAATTTTAGAAACTGGGTTTCTTTGAAAACATGCAATTGATCATCATTTGGGTATTTTTTTTCTTCTTTTTTTTTAGAATTCAGTCATTACTCTTGAGGGTTTGATTCTGTAAATCAATCCACTTACATCCATTAAAGCTCTTGGTTGAGACAATGGTGAAACATTGCTTCCCGGAATGATTTTTGCTTTCGTAGCTCTCTTGATTTGGGGTAAGCACCCGATTTAATAACTCCTGTTCTGAATATGATAGCTTGATTATGCTCATGCAGGAACATTTTTCTCTGATAATGTTGTGTATTTTCATGCAAATGGGTTTGAATTTTGCTTCTTTGTTTGATGAATTAGGTTTTCACGTCATTGCTGTCGATAGATCAGAATGATTTCTGATTTCTTTTCTTGAACTTGAATATGTTTGAATTTATTATCCTTGTAGTTCGGGTAAATATAACATTGTAAAATCAATCTTTTACCATCTGACCTTTGATTGAACAGATCTTCTCCTTCTATTCTAGAACAAAATTTATAGATTTTTCTTGTTATCTTTTGTTCTCGAATTTTTTTCTGACTTTTGTTTGTTTACCTGGTGATCATAGATTTTTTTTGGAACTTGCTAATTATAATTCTTCAAATTTTGCTGCAATTTGAAGAAAACATGTTCACTAATAATAGTGAAAAGGTGTATTATGAACTTCCTATTGGTGATGTTTTTTTTTCTAATGAGTGATTTGAATATTATTTTGATAGCCTTAGGCACTGTAAACTGCCCTTAGAGCATAGAACCAGAGATCATTTTTTAGAAAGAATTATCCATTCATTCTCTGGGAACCCAAGCCAAGTTAGGAACCGATCTTTATTGTTAACGTTGATCTGTATTTGATAATGTTAGACCTATAAAATATTTTCTTCTATACACTGGATTTTCGTCAAGAACTTGCTGTCAGGAAACTTGTTAATTTAGACTGCTAGTAGGTTTGATTTTCTATCACAATTTAGACGGATGTCCAATTTTTGTTGTGCTAAGATAGGCACATATATACATATATATATAAATCAATACACTCCTTTCTCACTTGAGGTCTTTCTTTCCAGGATCGTTCTTCCAAGAGCAGTCATAAAAGTGATCAGATTGTTGAGATGTTAGGGAGTCCTCAGCATCTGAAGGTACATAACTCGAGCACCATTGTTAGATGCCGTGGCACACGATTAGCCTATAAAATTTTGCGATATGAACTTTGTAATATGTGTGAAAATGCACGATTTGGATGAGAAGGATTCCGTTGAGACTTTTTCTTGTACACTTTAATGTCCATATTAAATGCATCTGCTCTTGATGGGGGAATCTGTGCCTTCGGTTTGTTGCCCTGATGCAGGACTCTTATCATTAACAGTCTACTCCACTGTTCCACTTATTTCGAGACACCTCTTTATTACCAAATCTAGCATTATTTATTCGTATGTAATCATCGGATTGTGGTGTGATTAAAAGAGAGCCTTGATACATTTATTGCTTGAGTTGTTTCTGAGCTTCTTGGTAGAGTTCCTTAGCTACGGAGTTTTGTTCAATATTTTTCTTCCAGGGTCATGTTTTGCATCCTCATATGACACCAATATATTGTGATTGATGTATGTATCTTGTCCAACAAAATTAAGTACCCTTTATTAGCACTCCCTTTTGTCATGTTGCAGATATCAGCTAGATGGGACCCGCATGAAGCGTGCAGGCCTTTAATTGATGAAGCACCTGTATTTTATCCAACCGTTGAGGTAATATCATTTATTAAAGAAATTATTGTACAACTTCGTAGCCTTTTGTTTCTCTTATACAAACTTGGTTTTATCCACTTTTACTATTCATTAGGAATTTGAAGATACACTTGGGTACATAGCTAAGATTCGTCTTCAAGCAGAAGCTTATGGTATATGCCGGATTGTCCCTCCGCCTTCTTGGAATCCACCATGCGTTCTCAAGGAGAAATGCATATGGGAAAATGACAAATTTTCTACTCGTATTCAGCAACTTGATTTGCTACAAAATAGGGAGCCCATGAAAAAGAAGAGTAGAGGTAGAAAACGCAAGCGAAGGAAGCAGTCAAGAGCAGGGACATCAGTTAGAAACACCAATCTTGGTGTAGAAGCAAACCCTTCTTCTGGGTCTGATAAAAAATTTGGATTCAATTCTGGACCAGACTTCACACTCAAGGAATTCCAGGCATATGCAGACTACTTTAAGGAATGTTATTTTGGAATTAAGCAGGCTCAAGAGGATTTAAATTTTGATATCAAATCTAGCCAGAGAAGGGAGCCTTCTGTGGAGGATATTGAGGGTGAGTACTGGCGGATAGTTGAAAAGTCTACAGATGAGGTCGAGGTATAAAAATATTGTCTTTTACTAGTTTTTTTATTTTGTATTTCTTAAATATTTGCACGTTCATGAGTACTCTGTTTTATTATGCCGTATTGCAGGTTTACTATGGAGCTGATATAGAATCAGGAACGTTCGCCAGTGGCTTTCCCAAGGCCTCATCGATGGTAACTGAAGGAATTTCAGATCCATATGTAAAGTCTGGTTGGAATCTGAATAACTTCCCTCGCTTGCCAGGTTCTGTTCTGTGTTTTGAGGAAAGTGATATATCTGGAGTTCTAGTTCCATGGCTGTATGTCGGAATGTTCTTTTCATCATTTTGTTGGGTAAGTTTGTCCTCTTTTGTTAAGGAGAGTGGAGACCTCTCGTCTTCACGTATCCCGTATTTATTTTTGTTGAATGAAATGTCTCTTATCAAAAGAAATCACCATCCTTTCACCTCTTCCTTGGGTCTCTTATTCTCAAAATCCATCTATTCTTCAAGTAATTTTTGAATATATTCATATTACATAAAATTAGGATAACAATATGTTTATAATTGAGAATGGTAGCTTAACCTATGTATCCACTCAAAACATATTTAGTAGCTAAGGACTCCGTTGTCTCTAAAGAAGGTGCAGAGATAAGGAAACTAAGCTGTAACAGCTTAAGCCCACTGCTAGCAGATATTGTCCTCTTTGGGCTTTCCCTTTCGGGCTTCCCCTCAAGGTTTTTAAAACACGTCTTCTAGGGAGAGGTTTTCACACCCTTACAAAGAATGCTTTATTGTCCTCCTCAACAGATGTGAGATCTCACAATCCACCCTGCTTCAGGGCCCAACGTCCTCACTGACACTCGTTCCCCTCTCCAATCGATGTGGATCTCACAATCTACCCCCTTTAGGGCCCAGCATCCTCGCTGACACTTGTTCTTCACTCCAATTGATGTGGGATCTCAAAATCCATCCTCCTTCGGGGGATATGATACGACCTTTTAGGTTATTGCAAGAACTGTAATTTCTATGCTTCCGAAAAATTGGGTTAGTGTGTATTTCCTTTCGATAGCTTTTAATTTTGTTTTCAACTATTTCTAAAAACTATGTGCTTTGCACTTGGGCCCAACTATCTCTCTACTGCAATCGATTAAATAGATCAGGAAAACAAAGACTGAAATGTGACATTAAAAAAAGTCTGAAGGTTACAGAAGTACGAACTGTCATGATGGAAGCCATACTGCTTTTTGCTTATTTATCATCTATTGCCTCTCTTTCTTTTGTAATAATATGAATTTTGATATTTAGCATAGCGTAGTAAGATGATTTTTGGCTCTTCAGTTTATATGAAGAAGACTTGCGCTGTCGATTGATTATCTGGTTAAATTCCGCAACTGTTTACGAAATATTTTCTCTTCTCAAAAGTCATTCCAGGTTTTTTGTTGTGATTTTTTAACAGCATGTTGAAGACCACCATCTTTACTCTTTAAACTATATGCACTGGGGCGATCCAAAAGTATGGTATGGAGTTCCTGGAAGCTACGCACCTTCTTTAGAAGCTGCAATGAAAAAACATTTGCCTGACTTATTTGAAGAACACCCAGATTTACTTCATGACTTGGTAATTTGATCAGTTTATTATTTTCCAAATCGTGCTGGAATGAACTCCCACAAACATAAAGATCTCACCGTAGTTGAAATTTCCAGAAGTGTTGGTTTGTTATCATTTACGGTCTTGACTATACATCTATATAGATATCATTTAATTTTCATTCAAATAATTTGTATTCTCGGAACATATTTTCTATCAACAATAGAATGGACCCTTGTATGAGCCTAGTCCAATTCATTCGACGGTTGGGGACACCTAGTGTAACTCCAATGTTGTATAGTGGGAATCATGAATCATCGAATATAACTTTTTCTGAACCTTTTAAATACCATGCTATTTTTTTCAGCCCTCTACTTCGACTTTCATCAACTGGTGTGCTTGATAACTTTCTGTCACATCTTCAATTCTCTCGGTAGAAGCAACCTTTTTCTAAATTTTCTTAAAGAATTATGACTTTTTTCTTGCAACAGGTCACTCAATTATCTCCTTCAATACTCAAATCTGAAGGAGTACCTGTGTATCGAGTGGTCCAAAATTCCAGGGAGTTTGTTCTTACGTTTCCAAGGGCATATCACGCAGGATTTAATTGTGGTTTCAACTGTGCTGAGGCTGTGAACGTGGCACCGGTGGACTGGTTGATTCATGGGCAAAATGCTATCGAACTTTATAGTGCACAACGACATAGGACATCGCTTTCACATGATAAATTGTTAATTGGATCAGCTCGGGAAGCTGCCCAGGCCCTTTGGGAGCTATTAGTTCTTGAAAAGAGAACACCAAGTAATCAGAGTTGGATAAGTGTGTGTGGAAAAGATGGAGATCTTACAAAAGTGATCAAGGTAAACTGTTCTTTCTCATCCTCCCAAATCCTCTGTTTGCATTTGCATAGTCTATATGAATGTGGCACTGAGTGAGCTATCTGGCTTGTTCATGTTGTACTAAAACTGATGTTATCATGTCAATATTCACAGACAAGGGTGAAGATGGAGGAGGAAAGAATGAATTGCCTTCCAACTCTTATGAAGGTGCAAAAGATGGAAAACGAGATTGATTGCAAAAGCGAGAGAGAGTGTTATGCCTGCTTCTACGACTTATATCTCTCTTCAACTTCGTGCAAGTGTTCCCCCGATCGATTCTCATGCCTTAAGCATGCTAGTAACTTTTGTTCATGTCCAGTAGACGACAGGTGCGTGCTCTTTCGCTACAGTATAAACGAGCTGCACACACTTGTTGGAGCATTAGAAGGGGGATTAGATGCCATTAAAGAATGGGCCTCGAGATACTGTGAAATGGGAAACGACAATGGAACTGTAGCTAAGGTAATTGGAAATTCATCTTGGTCTCCAGAAATAATAGCTTTAATGCATTGTAAATGGTGAAGTAAGGGTATTAATAAAGACGAGGCGGGACAAGAGTGAGCAGATAATCATTGATTTGGAGGAAACGTAGAGTTTGGTGTTTGAAGAAAAGGACGTTTGTAAAGCAGCACATGAAGAAAAAGATACCGCCAAGTTCTTGGAATTTGGTTCCTTTTGTTGAACCTACAAATATTGGAACAATTATGCTTGGAAAGCCTTGCACCGCCAGAAAGCCATATTTCCAAAAGGTATTACCTTAAAATTAGCTTTAATTTCCTAATTCAGAGGATTCTGTTTTTTATTGTTGTTTTTTTGTTCGACTTCTTCAGGTTTTAGAAGCCGAGAGAAATTCTTTAGTGTGCTTAATCCAACTAATATTGTTACCTGCAGGTCAGATGTTTTCGATCATGGCCTCCTGGGACCTCTATTCAAGGTGAGTCACCCCTTAAAGTTTTTAAAATGCGTCTGGTAGGGAGAGGTTTCATACCTTTATAAAGAATGCCCTTATAAAGAATGTTTGTTCTATCTCACAATCCACCTCCCTTTGGGTCCCAGCGTCCTCGCTGGCACTCGGTCCCTTCTTCCAATCGATGTGGGACTCCCCAATCCACCCCCCTTCGAGGCCCAGCGTCCTTGCTGGCACATCGCCTTGTGTCCACCCCCTTTGGGAAGCCTCCTCGCTGGCACATCGCCTTGTGTCTGGCTCTGATAGCATTTGTAACAGTCCAAGCCCACCCCTAGTAAATATTGTCCTCTTTGGGCTTTCTTTTTCGGGCTTCCTCTTAAGGTTTTTGAAACGCGTCTGCTAGGGAGAGGTTTCCATACCCTTATAATTTCATTCTCCTCCCAATCGATGTGGGATCTCACAATCCACCTCCCCTTCCGGGGCCCAGCATCCTTTGCTGTCACTCGTCCCCTTCTTCAATCAATGTGGGAACCCCCAAATCCACCTCCTTCGGGACTCAGCGTCCTTGCTGGCACATAGCTCTTCAGAGCTCAGCCTCCTCGCGGCACATCGCCCGGTGTTTGGCTCTGATACCATTTGTAACCGTCCAAACCCACCACTAATAGATATTGTCCTCTTTGGGCTTTCCCTTAAAGTTTTTAAACGCATTTGCTACGGAGAGGTTACCATATCCTTATAAAAAATGTTTCGTTCTCCTTCCCAACTGATGTAGGATCTCACTATATAGCTTTTACCATAAAGAGAGCTCTAAGAAAATTGGTTGTGTATTAATCGTTGATTCTGTGGAATTAGGTGAGCTTGGAAGAATCTCCCAGTGAAAGTGGATTGCTTTTTACAAGTGGATCATCAGGTATATCATTGAGTACCCACCAAGGCTAACTAACTGGAGAACAGCCAAGTATGAAAATCTGGGAAGCAGATGAAAAGATAATGATGATGATGATATAGTCCAGAATTTATACTCACTATGAACAGTCATGGAAGAACTTCTCAGCTTGCTTGAAGTGGTGGTCGTAAAGGTAAACAATGATGACACTAAGATATGCCTGGAAATAACAAATATAGTATTTGCAGTAAGTTTCAATTCTAGATAGATATTAGCAGTTTAACTCTTTGCTTTCATTTATGTAAATTTTTTTAACAATAAACGAACTTTTGGTTGATAATAGACATTCATTGACTCCTGTAAATTACCTGATAAATGCAACAGTAAATCTAAAAATGATAGAAAGACATTTTTCTGCTAGGAATTTCATTTTACAGGCTTGTTTCTTTGGTAAGAAATTGCAAATTATTATAAGAAAATTTAAAGGTAGAATCTCTCCCACCTTGGGGCTATGGGTGGCATTGCATTTTTACCAGCAATTAAAACCTTTTATATATATATATATATATATATATATATATATGCATGGATGCGCGCGCATACACGGAAGCTCATTGTGATGTTCCATATTAGTTGGGGAGAAGAACAAAACACCCTTTATAAGGGTAAGAAACCTTTTCCAGACACGTTTTAAAGCCTTGAAGGGCAGCTCGGAAGGGAAAACCCATAGATTTGAAAAATTTATATTCATTTAGAAATTATTGACCAGTTCAACATTCTCTCAAAAAAGATAAACCCCTACAAAAAGATAACCCTACGTGAGGAATGAATAGGGTTGTCATGCATGATTTATTTATATATTTATAATGCGAAGTATGGGAACTTCATACATAATTGTATGTTCATATGCATTGGGATACTTCTAGTTTGTGATGAGTACAAACACGTGCACTATGAAATTGAAATGACCATCATGCTCGCATGGTGCACGAGCATGATGGTCATTTCAATCTAGCCCGACAGGGGCGTGCGAGCTTGCCTGGTGGACCCACACTTGCATGTGTAACTAGTAGTTAGAATATGGTTTTAAACTATAGGTCACATGTGTTTGCATTCTCTGACCCTAATAGTGGGGTCAACTACTGGGTATTTTTTAAATTACTTCCGCTTTGTGTTACTCTTATATTTCAGGTAAAAGCAAGACACTCTTGTACAATTGACGGCGACATCGTATTAAAGACCATGAAACTTGTGTTAGGGTAGTTACATTTTATTTTGTAGATCTTAAGTTTTAGTCTAGGGCATCATTTTAATCTTTTTCTTTGGTTTTATTTTATTTTGCATGGAATATTTCTCATTGTTTTATTTCAAGACTCTTATGCAAACATACAAGTCTATGACATCATTTTATGAAATTGTTTTAAATGAATATTTCTGCATAAAGAGGTTACGTCATGCATATGATAGTAACTCTATTTCAATAGAAAATCAGGTCGTTACAGTTGGTATAAGAGCTCTAGGTTATAGATTTTGTAGACTAGCTTACGAGTAGGCTTAACATGTTCCATGGTCCCACTGCTAATACTGTCACCGTTAGGTATACCTTATAAAAGATAAGAAATGATGTTGTTTTGTCATGTTATGATTTACCTTGCATGTAATGTGAATGTTAATTGATGTATTGACGATATTTAGATTTAAGAAGGCTTGTATGGTGAATGGGGAGCTATTGTTTAGTAAGATACTAAATGCTAACATATGCATGAAAATGATTTTGATAAGGAAGGTAAGATGTTTCAGTTAGACATCTCGATCATAGTTAAAATACGCAGTGTTAAAGTTATTAAGCTATAGTAGGATAAGAAGTTATGATCATGGTCAAATTTTAAAGGTATTTACAAACATAGATTGCCGTATGAGATTTTCCAAATATCTTAAACATGAAAACAAAAAATACTTTTTTATATATTCTCTATTATGGTATTTTTCTTGCATTTGACTTTCGAATATACTCTTAAACTTTTAAAATCAATTTTTTTAAATGAACGATTTGAAGATCTATTGATTCTAACGATTGCAGAGTTGATCATTTGGACCTTTCAATGCATAGATGTGAATATTAGACCTATGAATGAGGATATTCTCGAAACTCACGCAACTTCCGTAAAAAAAAATCACTTCAATTTTAAGAATGTTAGTAGTAAAAACTTTAAATTAACTAACATTATTTTTAAAGTTTTTAAGTATTTTTGAAATGCGATCCTAACGGTCTTGCCCATATACTAAAGTAAGAGTATTTCTAAAGTTTAAAATAAAAAATTTAATTTTTTTTTTTTTGAAGTTTTTAAAATCTAAAGGAATTAATGAAATTTTTGTGATATTTTTTAAATAAAATATTAGTAATGATATTAACTTTCAAAAGTTTGATAGCATCTTTTATACACAAATGCAAAATTCATGAATACAGCTAAATTAATAAAATTATTTCTAAACTCCTAAAAGTTTTAATTTTTTTAGATTTTTTTTTTTTAAAAAATATCTTTATTTTATTTTATTTTTTAATATAAAAATATTTGTACCTTATAAAAAAAAAAAATAGTTTATGGTACTTCCTAAATTATTAAAAATATTTTAAAAAGTTAGGAGTATTTTTTTAAATTTGGTACTAAAAATATTTTTAAATTCTAAGAAAAAAAATTTAAAAATGTTTTTCAAATTTTAAAAAAGTTTTAAAAAGGTTTAAGAATATTTCAAAGTTATTTTTTAAATATCTAAAAAGAATATTAGTATTTTTAAACAAATATTAATAATTTCATCTAAGTTTAAAAATATTAATTTTCCTTAAAATTATGATTAAGAATATTTTTAATAAGTTTAAAAATATTAATAAAAAGATTTTTATAGAGAGAATTAAAATTATTTTAATTAATTTAGTGTTGATTCAAATAAAATATAAATAAATCAAGGCATGAACGGTGAGGCCCCAAACAAGTGCCATACTTGTCACTAAGCCTCTACCTCTACCCTCCTTATCCACTCCATTGCTTCAATCTGAACTGACGAAGTTCTTGGCAGTGGCAGAGAAGACGAATGAGAGTGGGCATGGCCGCTTCGCTTTCAGCTCCTCCCTGCACATGCTCCTCCAAATCCATTCTTTTGCGCAAGTTTCGCCCCAAGATCAAACTCCGAAGAAATTGCTTCAGAATTTCTGCCTCAACCTCCGTTCTTGCCGATGGATCTCCTCTTCTTCAAGCAGCCAAGCATACTGTATGGTTTCAAGTAACGAGCATTTTTTTTTTTTTTTTCTTATAGTGTTCTTGTATTCTACTCGTTCTGGTAAAAGAAATGTCTGAGCTCTCTGTTTTAGGATACTTCCTGTAATGTGACTGTAAGGCGCAGCGTTTTTTTTGCTTTTTTTGCATTTTTTGTGTGTGATTTTACCTAGCATGTGAACTGGCGAACTAATCAGAGCAAATAGGTATGATAAAAATGGGAGAAGCAGAGAGACCGGGATTCATCGCTCTTATAAGTAATGAAAGGTATGGTTATGAGCCAAGTGTTAGCATCGGAATCTTTCTATGAATGAATGAGAGTTCGGCCATTGAGTTTGTTCGAGTTGGCAGAAAAATTGTACATTACTCTTCTTGCACCTTTGTGTAATCTGGCTGAAAGAGAGACTTCCGGTTTGAGATAGGAGCAAAACCCAAGATTGAGAAATCTTTAAAAGTGTACGAGGGGAATGATTGTAGATAGTCTAAATTGAAGTATTTGGAAGAGTCGATAGTTTTTGTTTTGTGATAATTTGATCTCTATGTGATCTGATTTCGAAAATGCTTTTGTTAATTAATTAGAGGGTATGTTCTGGAGGAAAATGACTGCTGCGAGTCTTTGTAATTCTAGGTGGATGCATACGTAAAAAGTGGAATGGTTATTGGCTTGGGGTCTGGTCAAGCTTCTGGCATGGCCATTGGGTATCTTGGCCGGTTGCTTCGAACAGGTGCTTTGAAAGATATAGTCGGGATACCCATGTGAGTTACTATCCTCTGAATTCATTGATGATGTCTGATACTAAATGCTTGGTTTCATCATCGGCCTAATTCCAATCTGAACATTACAACAATTGGCAATTTGTAGTCGTACTTGTTTTTCTTATCGACACTGGATAGGATTGATGTGAAAGAAACATTTTTGGAAATAATTAAAATCTCCTTCCCAAGACCTGTTTTGCGTTGAAAGTTCACCCTTAGAATTATAAAGTTAAACGAGGTTTACAGTGAATATCTCTTGAAAGCATTGGAGATGTTAGGCCAAAAGCCAATTTGGGATTCTTTACACCAAATTCCAACTATTTGGTTGTTATTAAATTTTATGCAGTCCTATTTTACTTTGAGATTTTGAATGCCAACTATGTCTCCATATTCACCAGTTGATGACTTCCAACTTGTTGAATATATTTGTGAAAGGCAAAATGACTTCGATAATAGTTGTAATTATATTTATAATTTAGAAGTCAGTGACTTTCTTATATGTAACTTACCATTCTTAACGCACTATGCTATATTTCTGAAAGACAAAATGAGTTTCTATGTACCTTTCTTTCTTAACGCACCATGTCAGTTTCCTTGGCTTGATACAGGTCCATAACAAGTGCGAGTGAAGCTGCCAAGGCAGGAATTCCACTAGACCAGTTCAATGATAGTTCTCAAGTGAGCTAAACATTCAATTCTTAATTAATTATGCTCTTTACTGGAGTACTTTTTGAATCCAAGGTTGTCTCTAAGTTTAGTTATGATGGGAAAATATTTAAAGGGTAGACGATGTGAAGGATTGTTGGGAGGGAGTCCCACATTGGCTAATTTAGGGAATGATCACAGGTTTATAAGTAAGAAATACATCTCCATTGGTATGAGACCTTTTGGGGAAGGTAAAGCCATGAGAGCTTATGCTCAAAGTGGATAATATTATGCCCAAAGCAAAACCATGAGAGCTTATACTCAAAGTGGATAATATCATACCCATTGTGGAGATCCATGATTCCTAATATGGTATTAGAGCCATGTCAATAGTTTGAGGATTGTTAGGAGGGAGTCCCATATTGGCTAATTTAGGGAATGATCATGAGTTATAAGTAAGGAATGCATCTCCATTCTAGAGTCTCCTCATGTTTGTTTGATGCTTCTTTGTCATTGGGGTGTATTAATGATATTGGCACAGATTGCTGAGCCTTTGTGACCCCAGAGGTTCTCATAAGAACTCTGATTCCTTGTGGATAAAAAATAAATAACTGTTGTGAACCCAATTAGGACCTAGACACGCACGGAATATTAAAAAAAATAAATCAATGAGGTGTTACGAAGTCCCTAATAATGAATAATTGAATTTTAATTATTATTCTATGGATTTTG